AATTCTCAATCCAAAAGACTTCCTCAAACAAGAGCAATTACACTTGTGTAAATCCACTTTTTTCATATCTCTGTCTATGTTCGGGAATAACAATCACAGCTTTTTTTGGACAGTTATCTTGAAGTAATTAATAGGCAAAGAACAAAGATATGTTTATGAAAATTTCTCGGCAGTTCCTTTATTCCACAACATTGTTAAAGAGTACAGTATTTGATTACTAAACCTCCAGCATGCCAAGTACCATTTGGCTTCCTGCCATGATATACAGCATATGTTCAAGTTTACAGAAATAATGGGCCTTAGAACCCCTCTAGTGCCCAAAACTCTGCATTACCTGCATGTTATTTTCAGTATACAGTGGGGTATGCTATAACGAACGTAATTGGTTCCAGAACCTCGTTCATTATAGGATTAATAGGTTCCGAACCCCCAAATACAACCACTTAACACTGAAAAAATTCTGTGGAAAATGTAAAAAATACGGTACTTTATCTTACCTTAGTGTTATTCAGCATGCAGGTACCCCTAAACACTGGCACAGCACTATCACTTCCACTGGGAGTCTTGGCTTTAAGGTCCTCAAACAATTGTCTGGCCTTCTCACAAATTATAGCTTCACTAATGTTACCACCTGCCATTTCTTTCTCCTTTATCCACACTAAGAGAAAATTTTCCATCTCTTCAATCACATTACACCTTGCTTTGCTAAGTCTAAAGATTCCCTTAGCCACTTGCACAATTTTTAACTTTATTCTTCAAAATCGTACATATAGTCGATTTAGCCATCCCATGTTCATCACTAAGTTTCGCAATGCTTCTTCCATTCTCACGTTTCTTTATAATTTCTTTCTTAGTTTCAAGGGTTATTAGCTTTCTCACTCGCTTTGGACAACTTATTGTTACAATTGTATACTTGTATAACAAAATAGTTATACAAATAATGCAAATTTCCACATCAAAAGACGAAATTTCAACAATAACAGTGGTGCACTGGCTACAAAATGAGACAAAGATGGCACCTGACGCTCTTGTTGTGGGTCGAGGTACAATAATATTCATGCGCCAGGCGAAATAGTCCCGTATTCATCGGCGTTTGTTATAGGAGTTGCGTTCGTTATAGCATTCTCAATTTTATAGGTAAAACCGTTCGTTATAGGAATATTCGTAGTAGGATCAGTTCGTTATAGCATACCCCACTGTAACATGTTTTGGTGAACAAAACATTTAGCCAGCTTGTGTGTGCAAGTGACTCCATGATGTATGGAATACTTTAATGGTGCCTATGAAGTTCATTTGTGGTGGTTATGCATTATATTTTGCAGTACCTGTGGTTTCTGAATATTTGTTTAGCTCAAAACCCATTTTGCTTAAACTATGGACAGAACTTTACCAATGTGTACACATGCCCCTTAAGTTGCCACCTGACCAAGTTAAGCCAAATATAACTTGACAAGATCTACGGCCACAACTATACATTTATTATGCACTTTCGAAAGGCCGTTTTATTTTGGCGTTCGAGATTCACGTAGCATAATTAAAGTACACAGGTCAAGAAAAGGTCTTGATTTCAGGGGAAAAGGGGGGAAGGTCATTCGGCAAAATTGTATACTGTAATGGTTTTTGCACCAAGCACCACTTCTTACTGTACACAAATCCTCCTCTGGGCAAGGCAAAACCCAGTTTAGCCTAAAAAGATCGTCGCCAATTCCTAGACTGAGGTAAAAACTAGTTTACTGTATGTAGAATAATCATGTTCTCCATCTTTAACAAATCATGAAAACTATTGGATTGATCCCACACAAGTTGGATGAAACTAATTTGGTTTTAAGGTTTAAGACAGTGAATTTCCCTCTGGAAATCAAAGCATTCCTGTCAAGCCTTTATTATACTAGATGGGAGGTTCTCAAATGCAAGGGTCACTTATCAGGACTCCAGATTCTATTAAGAATGTTAACACATTATCCTAAACTTTAATTGTCAACTATTTACTCAAGAATTGCTACATTTGTTACTATACTGTAGTTAAATTATGTTCCAACTGCCACAGCTGAAACTATACTTGCTTGTATCTGGTAAAAAAGAGTCCATCCATAAAATGGACAACTTTCATCCACACCAAAGGAGGAATATAAACAATGATAAACTTAATCTGTCTTTAAGTGGAAAATTTACAAACTTCACATGGTAAAATACTTACATCCATAATATAACACAATGAAGCCTCGGGTAGCATTTAATGAGTATTAAGTAAGTTTCAATATTACTAAACACCCATTAAAATTCATAATTTTAGGCCATTAGATCAAATTTTACAATAATTTGTACACCAAGAAAACCAAGCTACCCAAGGCTTTTTACAACTTTAATACATTTTAAAGAATGATTTCACAAAATTTCAACATGGCCAATGCAATGATTCTAAATCCAATAGCTTTATATTTTTTAAGAGCTACAGCAACAAAGCTACTGGGGTAAACTAGAACAATTATAGTCTGTTCATTACAGAACTAAAAACACCCTCCCTCAAATTGTCTCACGTGAGCTTATGGTTGGCTACCATGCTAACCACAAGTGGAGATGCACTTCAATATTTAAGACTCCCTTGTACTTGCTTGGCATCAACAACTGACGTGCAATATCACTTGTCTGGGTAGTCCAATTAGTGGACCTCCCTTAAGTTCCAAATAATAAGCTAGATAACCAATTGAAAACATACAGGACATGCAAGGATTTGCTCAAGAATGATTTACATTGTCACTAACTATAGGGGACCAAGATAGATTTGAGGCCAATGGCCTGGGTAGGATCTCTGTTCTTGAAATGTTCAACAAAGGACTACAAAACCTTTAATTTTAGGAGAGCGGTCAACCCTGCTTCTTGCTCAAAATAAGGAGCTACCACACTCAAGAGGGAAGAGGAAACCTACTGGGTAAAAATACCTGGGCTTCACATACAATAAATAGCTGTAGCAGAGCCACTCCTAGCAAGAAATTACATCTTTGCTGACAATCGGATGAATAGAAGCTGGGGGACCTGAAGCCCAAGATTATCTATATAATCCTGGATGAAACCAATGCCAAGTGTCAAACAATGGTGGCTCAGATGGCACTTGGTGCTTTAATAAAAAGTAACTTCCATCCTGGGTGCTCTTGACTGTTAAACTCCACAATTAATTGGAACTGCTACTATGCCTCACAGTAATGTCTCTCCAGACATTGGTATATGTTTTTCATAAATATCCGAGAAAGATCAACTGGAATGAACAAATATCACATTCAGTTGAACAAGGGAGTCCTTTAGAAAGACCTAGAAAGGTAACAAGTGGTTAACAGAACTTATTCCTTTAATTCTGCTTACACCATGACTAAAGCCGAGGCTAAAACGGTTTACTGGAGGTTCCAACAAGTTACCCCAGTACCAACTAAACAGAGCCTAAGGCCTTACATTAGGAGCAATTGAACATGAAGGTTAAATAGCTCTAGCAAAAATGTATCTAGCACAACAGCTGAAGAAGCCTTACAGAAAACAAGGACATACTTTTGAACTTATTCAATTCCTTCACAAGGGTTACCAAAGGACACCAACTGCAATAAAACCTATGCCACTGCATAAGGAGCAATTTAATGTACTACAGTAGAAGTCCAAAAATCCAGACTGCTTGGGGATTGGGTCGGTCCCGATTTTCGGATTTTCCGGATTCTCAGGCAGTACTTTTAAAATTCAAATTTAAGGAGGAATAAAAAAGAAGAGATGAACAGGTACATTTTGATAGTGTATTCATTAGCAAATATAGCATGCTTCATTTATCAAAACGAGCAGTTTTAAAGAAAAAGCTGTGAATTCTAGAATTTTATTCTTTGCCTTTTTTATATCATAAATTGTAGACTTCCCAATGTCGTACATTTCCATTAGAACAGTATTGCTCACACCACAATCTAGTTTCTTAATTATTTCAAGTTTGTCACTCAATTTCAACGTGTTCTTTCTCTTCACACAATTAAGTTTATCTACTTTAGGAGCCATTATTATGGGCTTGTACAGTACAGTACTCTGTAAATGGAAAGAGTAGGACTCAAAATTACATATGTTGTCACAGTTTGATTGCTAATTTTAAAGTGGCGACCAAGTGGTCGCTTGTTGTCGCTGTGCAGCTGTGGTGCTCACGCATGCGCACATACACACAAAAGCCCGCTAAAAAAAAAATTGAGTTTTCGAAAAGTCCAGATTCTCGGGTGGTCCGGATTTCTGGACTTTTACTGTAAAAAATTACCTACACCTGCAGCAATCAATAGGAGAAATCTGCCTAACGGGATTAATGTCAATAAAATGCTGTAAAGGTGTTCTTCCGTCTCATGGAGCCCTCTGGAAACAGACTGCCAAATAGAACTAATAACCCAAAAGGTACGCAAAGGGATCTCTCCTCCCAACCAAGGACCAAAGATTGAACGAATTCAAACCTATGGCAAGTGAGCAACTCTCCAACCAATGAATCCATACAGGAAAATGTGGAACTACAACACTGCTAGTTCCAGCCCAAGACAATTACTTCACTGGGAGTTTATCATTTGGGACAGGATTAATACTCTTGGAATGTTGTGACATACTGTTTAACATCCTTCATGCCAAAAACTGCCCATCAACCATGCTAATGGATATTAGCCCTTCAAAACTCAAATTTGCTTACTTTAGATATGTCAACAAAAAAAATTCAGCAAAGCAAGCAAGGATGAATCTTGACTAGATTTTTTTTAAACATTAACTAGTGCTGAACAAATACAGGCAAACCTTTATGAACTCTTAGTCAAATAAATTAGTTAATATCAACATTTAAGCCCCCAAATACCCAGCACTGACCAGACACAAGGTACTACACCAGCCATTTATGTTTCAACAGCTCAGGACTTAAAAAACCGGATCTGGCGAATCCTCAGTCGACTTGCTTAAGAAAAATATTTACATGACCTACTCATTCCTTCATGCATCTCAATTTATATGGCCAGGAGCTTTGGCATATTAAAGTTGCCGTAGTCTTAAAAAAGAAGTCTGCATTAGCCGCTTGTTTTTACCTAAAACCACCTTTTGAAAACATGCAAAGACTAAATGGCAAAAGCTCAAAAATGGCTGATAATGTGAACTGGAAATTAATACTATAAAAAAATCAGATCTAAGCTATTTACTATGACGTATGTGTTAGCAAGTCTTTATATGGAATGACACCAATATATATATATATACTGTATATATAAAAATATCACTCGAGGTTGGGATCTACAGTACTTTTAAAACTAATAACTGAAGTCAATATTTACAAGATTTAAGATTTCCAGCCTTAATCTAATTCTGCATACAATTCACCCTAGCATTAATCTACAGTATTATACCACAACCTGTGCTTATGTCCTGAATGAGACGCTTAACCAAATGCTCGTAGGAAAATCAAAATTTATTGTACAATAGCAAAACAATTTAACTTTAAAGTTTCAAATTTCAAGCTTTCCCTTATTCAAATATTAAGACTCCCAGAAGCTCAAATTACTGTACAGTATATCACTTTGTATTCCTCACTCTAGATCCAATTGCCCATTATCACAGGAATTCTTCCACTATTAATATTTCTCGTCAAATAAAATTATTACCCAGTTTAGGATAAACGACCTTCCTTAGTCATCTTTTTATCTGCCTAAACAGACTGGTAGGCACCGGAGCGCCGGCGGCGGCCAACCAAGTAGGCAATCAACACGATAACAACTAGACCAGCAAGAGCACATCCAACAGCAATTGGGACAATATCAGATGTCTTGTCAGCAGCACAGTGGGTAGCTGAAATAAAAATTATGGTATATTAAGTCCAATATGCACCAAGTCACAAACTACCTCTTCATTTTTTTAAAATGAAGTTCAAAGCATCTTTGTGTACTATTTTAATACCACCCCAAAATTTACAAATTACCAGTACAACTTCACATGAACTACTGCACAGTATTTTCCTCCACTTCTGAAATTCAGTCCCCATTCCAATCCAGACAGCCTGAAACAGTTCAATTATGCTCCACTGAAACTAATTTTCAGTCATAATTTGAATTATTTGTCACTACTTCGCCAAAACCAATTTTAATCAGTTTAGTTACTATACGCTAAATACACATACAGGCACCCCCCCAGTTCTCGATTTTTATTTCAAGGTCCTGTTATTCGCAGATGACAACCCTGGACGTACCCAAGAAAGTCAGTAGTTTTAAAGTTGCTGGCATTTTTGAAGCTGGGTCAGGGAGCCATTTGTTCTAGAGACAAATTTCCATTGCCTGTATTGTAAGTGTGTGTGTGTGTGCGCGCATTAACAAAACATACAAATAATTGGAAAATCCTCAAATAATCAGAAACATTTATCTAAAATGTGACAGTCTACCCTCAAGTCTGTAATAAAGCACGGACTTGAGGGTACTCGCATTCTCAATAAATTTGTGAGAATTTTCCCATTATTTATTTGCGTGTGACTACACTTACAATACAGGTAAAAGAAATTGTGCGAGGGGCAAACAAAGGGAACACACATCTTTGTAAACTAGTAACTTTTTTATAGGCAAGCAGTGTCCCCCTCTCCAGACATGTTCATGGCATGGTAGAGCAGCATGGTCGTCTCGTCGTCCACCTGGTTATAATGTCTACATATTAGTCATACCCATGATTGTTCACATTTAAAAGCTAACAATGTATTTAAAGACCCAAATATCAATTAAAATAAAATTAGATACTTACAGGCACCGAAGTCCGGTTCATTTATAACTTCGTTGAAGGCTTCAATCTGAATCCCATTCAGTAAAGACGACAATGGAAGTTTATAAGGCTCCTCTTCAATGGTTCCATTTACATTTTTAGTAGACAAGGTCGAGTGGCAACTGAAGCTGTAATTAACAGCTACATCAATGGGGCTTAAACCAAAGTCGATAACCAAATCCAATGACTTGCCTGTTAAAGTTAAACAAAATTTTACAATTAATCTCATGTACTGTACTCCTGTAGAATGTGGAAAAAAATGTGCTCTAAAAATTTCACATGCTAATTATGTACACTCACTAAAAATTTATTAGGCACCCGTGTCATATTGTAGCATGCCGTAAGGATGCCAAACAATTTTTTAGTGGGTGTAGAGTGCGAGTGCGTGTGAGAGCATGTGTGTGCATCCTGTGCGCCCACTAAAAATTATTCTGCACCCTTACAGCACGATACAATACGACATGGGTCCCGAGTAATTTTTTTAGTGGGTGTACAATAAAGGTGTCAAGTTGCAAGTGAATGTGGAGGCGAGAACATTGCCAACAATGCATTTCACAGCAAGTGTAGCTTCAGCAAACTGACTGCAGCACTTGTGCAATGTAAACAAAGAAGTGGAAACTTAAGATTACAACTTCAGGGATTCAGCGGAGTAATTTTTATAGAGAATATAACTAACTTAAATCAACTACAATATAATTACTGTATAAAGGTATCGTATGGTTAGTTTCTTATCCCTTTTTTCCTAAGTATAGGCATGAATTTATTAGTGCACCACATCAAGTGTATTTCACATGTATATTAGCTATTGGTTTATCATTGTGTACACCAAATACACATTGTGGCATTTTAAATTTCCAGGCAAGTTCTTTATGTGAAACTCCATTTACAAAATAGAAGTCTCATGGGAAAACGTGCTCAATTTATTACATTTATGCGAGACATCCCAGAAAAGGAAACTATACAGGTATCCATTAAATCTTTGTTCATAAAGATCCATCAATACCAGTGAAAAATAATCTTTACCTTAGTTTCAAGGCAACTACTTGAAACTTTATTAATACTTTCAACATCCCTACATAGGATCATTTTTAACCCAAATTCTACACCAATGAGGCTTCCAGAACTCTTCCGTTTACAAGGAAGTGCAGTAGGCAGTTCCCCACTGTTGATGAACTGATCCAAGAGCTTGAACTTTAAGGCTAACCACTTCAGATGACCTTTAAGAAATGCTAACAAGAAAATGCCATTAAGAAACTTGAAATGCTGCAATACACTTGCAAAGAAGAAATACTGACAAAGAGGCTTGGACTTGCCATTAAAGGAAGCCACTGTTGAGACTCCATTCTAGGATCTAACCAAGCTTATCCCTAACATCACAATTCAGAACCATTAGATTTTCCCTATAAATATGCTGTACTGTACTTACCAACATCTGTGGCATCTGCAAAAGTATCATTGTCCATGTATAGTGAAGCTGTGAAAGATGAAACAACCCAGTTATTCTTCGTCTTGTTAAATCTCATTGTGGTGCTGGAGATGCTCTCCTCTTTGCCCCAGCTGATGGTGATCACCTGGCTCCCATCACTATCTTTGCAAGTGCCATTTACGTGACCATTTTTAGGAACCTGCACGGTTGTCACCTTGGTTGTCTGTTAAAAGAATAATTAAGTAGTCACCAAGAAACAAAATAAAGAAAAGTACATTATTGTAATTTCCCATGTATGTTGTGGAGCTTGTTTCTGCATTGGTAGTCACCATTTACAGCTTCCTTGAACACCATTACAGAATTTTTTTTAATATTTTCTAACTATAAGGCATTCAAAGGAATATCTAAATCCGTTTAGAAATACTCAAGTGTTTATCAAGAAATGATGTGTGTAGATGGCAATGATAAAGGACTAGTATATAAAACTTCTCATGTTCCACCAAACATTCACTTAATGGAGTTGCACAAAGAACCGACATACTCTACCTCCAACGTGCTTAGAACATGCTATTTTAGACACTGCTGTACTTTTATTGCGTCAAAATTTATGCACTCCACATGAAATCCAAACACTGAACTGGTTACCTAGCTATTTGTTACAAATATAATGGAACCATTTACTGTACATAGTTAATACATTAAATTGAAATATTCAATGAATGATGCATCAACTAATATGGAGTTAATAATACTGTACCCATTTAGTATACTTATTGAATTTGAACATTTCTCAATAATACCGAGGTTGTTGTAGGCTAATGGCCTCATGTCGTTACAGATAGCACTGAAGAGGTAGTGTAGAAATTTAAGAAATGAAAGGATGGAACCAAGTGCATGCAAGTGGCAGCAACAAGTAGTAATACAGAGCAGTACTTCGAAGAATGGGTGAAGGGCCTGTAGTGAAAAATGGCCCCATGTTATGTCTGAAGGAAAGTTATTGGCAGCAACTGTGCAGTAGGTTAGGAAAACTAAGTACTGTACAAGAGAGTTGTAGTGGTGTAAATAGCAAGACTGCAGGATGTTGACTAATTGCATTGCCCATTTGTCAAGGTTCCATAATTCAAAATTATTTTAGAAATATAAATCTGGTGGAATGGATGAAATTTGGATATACAGCAGCACCAATATGCAATTTACACAGGCATTTACTCACTGCATTATTGTAATAAAAAATCTGCAAAAATTTACATTCATTATGAGATCTGTTCTTGTAAACTTCAAAATTCAGCCCCCCATGGTACAGTAACTTTAAAACCTGCTGCAGCAGCAGCAACAACAACAACAACAACAAACAAACAAACAAAACTCACTGAGCAATATTAGAAGGCAAAGTCTACAATATAACTTCTTGCACTACTGCAATGTCCAGCAAGAAAGTAAAACTACAGTATAAGTATTGTTTAGCTACAACAAAGTCCAGTTTTAACTTCACTCAGAGGAAGCCAATGCACAGTACATAAATCATTCAATCCAAAATTCACTATGCTAAACAACTGCCAGAAGAAGAAGTTGCTTTTGGAATAAAAAAGCTAAAAAGCACTTACATTATTCGTCGTGTAGTTGACAGTGAAGGATATTTGACCCTCAATCATTATACAGGTAAGATTATTATCTTTGACAAAGTATTTGTCATTTGGCGATTGTGTAGTTGGGGGAGCCTCAGAGGTGGTGGGAGCCTCAGAGGTGGTGGTGGGAGCCTCAGAGGTGGTGGGAGCCTCAGAGGTGGTGGTGGGAGCCTCAGAGGTGGTGGTGGGAGCCTCAGGGGTGGTGGTGGGAGCCTCAGGGGTGGTGGTGGGGGGGGCATCAGGTGTGGTGGTAGGGGCATCAGAGGTGGTGGTGGTGGTTGTGGTCTTATTGGTAACAGTAGGTTCTGTCGGGGCAGTAGTGGAGGGTGCATCCGTTTCATATGCAGTGTCATCCATTACATCCTCACCCAATACCATGGATCCTGAAAATAGTTACAGTACTTAAATTCATGAACATTTAACTAGGTTATTGTTAGTTCCATTCAAAATCACTGAAATCCAGGATGTCAATGTTTAAAAGCAATCGTGAATGAACGTTTCAGAAATTACATAGGAATTCAATTTTGTCATCTATGGGAAAAAAAAACAGGAAACTACTAAATTAATTGGGTAGTTTCAGGGTTAGTTTTGATCCAAGTTTCAACTTTACTGTAGAGGATCTTGTTGCACAGAATGGTCACTGTACAGGTGTTAGGTAGGTCATGCTCTACACCTATGGCATTTCAGCCCAAAGCTAGGTTCAGTCGGAAGGAATCGCCAAGTAACACATTTGAGTAGGCAGGTGACGAAGGTCCTAAATTATTTGTATTTTTCAACATATGCTCAGGTTGCAAGCCTTTGAGAGGCAAACCAAACTCCTTTAATGTGTTTTCATTACATTTTTTTTACATTAATCCACTTCTATTAGGGCAATAAATATTCTACATGTAAGGGTACCTCCAATTCCCAACCTTTTTAGCAACCTATACATAGGATCAACCAATGCCTATATCAGCTGTAACTGCCTCCTCGCTCACCCTTTACCGTGGGAAGCACAGGCCTTCTGTTAAGCATGTAATCCGCTACATGTACAGGTGAAATTATACAAATTTTGATGACTGCAGAACTGTTCCAACAGATTAGCAATTCTAGTACAGTACAAGAAAAGAGGTTTCACATGTGGGAACTTTCATTTGCCAAATGGCTACCCACTAGACATGGCCATGCCAAGGGAAGATGGCCAGTAGCCTGTGTAGAATCCCTTAATTGTTTTATAATGGTCTGAATACTCTTCCAACAGGGCAACTATGTTTCATGCAACTCTTTACAACATGCAAAACAAACCAGCAATATTAAGTGCTCTAAATTTACATAAATACTGCACAGTACTGTATGTAGTTTGCAATTTTCCCCCAAATTATAACCTTTTGAAAATTTAGTTTAAGACTTCTAGTTTGGCTCTGCTCATTTCAAAAGATAGCAAGATAAAAAGCAGCAACTGCCTACAACACTGTACAGTATTCATGTGGTAAAACCTCAATTAGAACAATATGACAATTGGAGGGGTAATGCCAAATTTTGCTTAAAATTATCTGCCAGACTAGTACCAATACAATAGTCTGGTTTGCAATTTAGAACATTACATGCAAAAAAAAAAAAGATGATTGATCAGCCTGTGTTCCTCCCTACTTTAATGAGCTTTAAAAACCATCAATGAACTGCAACACCAGCAATGAGCCATGAAAGTACTGTACAGTAGCTAATACAACTACCTGTGCATACTTATTGGTAAACAATACGAGACCATGGACTATAAATTGTTATACAAGGGCCGTCAATAGTCAAAATTACTGAGCAAATCAATCCCCACCTGCAGAGAGTTTTAGTTACTGTAAATTATAATTAGAAGTCCAGTATTGTACTGCCACTTCACACAATGGGTTTCTCATTGCTAACAACTTCAATTATCTTTACCTTCCAGTGCTGTAAGCATGTAGGCAGTGGCATGGAGTGTACAGTCACTGGTTTATTAGTCAGTTTTGATGTCTAATACAAGGCCTCAACTTGAGGTGTAGTAACCACTCCAGGTCTCCCAAGTTCTCAGACCATCTTCAGTCTCAGATTTTGTATACCTGGGGACCACAGCTTTTAACTATCATTTCATTCACCTTTCCCCTAGCCCTTACTTCCAAATTTACCATCAACTTATTTACCATTACCCCTTCATCACTAATACCGAATGACCCAATTAATGTACACCATACAGGGTATCATTTTCTCAAGTAAATTTCCAATACCAGCACTGTATTTCACATTACTCAAACTAATCTTGGTACATTCCCAATACTTTTGTTTTCTAGCAATACATTATACAACTTGTCTTTAGTAGTCTCCTACAGCACCACATTTTGAAGACCTAACTAGCGAGTTTTTAAAATGTCCACTTCGGACACCAACAGTAGTAGGACCATAAATAGTTTAACTGCTTTTCACTATAATATCCTTATTTTAAATATCTAAGAAATTGCAATTGTCTCCTATAATCCCTAATTTCACATCTACCACCAAAAATTTACAGTACGGTTTTATGTACAGTAGCTAAAACCACTCCACATTTGCTTGCATGCCGCTATACGACCACGCCCAGTAGAGTGATGCCGGTTCCGACTGTCAGAATGACGCATTGCAGGGCCAGGTCATCGCACAAGTTAGCAGCACTTGTGAACGGGTCATCGATAGCAGCTGCTATGGCCTGGTTAAGTGAAATACCACAAATAAATTTGGGCCCTACTACTAGATATTAGCCATGGAAACTTGTTTTATACCCATGGTTACCGGGTACCACATTTACCCTACATTATGGCATAATTACAAATAAAATCAATCAACCTGGTCCTCCAGGGTAGCACTGCGAGGGCAGCATGCTCCGTTGTGGATCAGCTGTAGCCCCAGTCTCGCCCGATCCAGGGCAATTTCAGGAACACACCCTCATTGTAAAGGGAGAATGGCTCCCGTTTCATGCGAGGTTTCCATGACGAATGGCACGAGAAACAAAATCGTCACAAGTTGCCTCCGATATAGTTCATAACCGGCAATGGAGCATCTCCTGAACCAGGTTCATAATCAACAAACTCTGTCTCGCTATTAGATGGCAATAGAGCATCAATACGAATCACACTACAACCATAGCCCTTGTATGCTACATCACCACGCAAGCCATATATCTGGAGCGGTAACAACTCTTTCCCTGTATTGCGAGACAATCACAAATTATTCCCATATGGTAACAACCTGTGATGGGTACCAAATGATGATGGGGGGCGAGGACAGGCAACACACCCCCACCCTCAAAAGATGTCACCAGTCCCACGTAAAATTTCTAAGCATATTGACACCCACCTGCACAGATGTTTTAGCTACTGTACTTAAGCACAGTACCAGTACACTACTATTTTCTATTATTAAACCCTTTCACTTTAAAAATAGTTTTGGTCTGTCCCTTTTCATAATAGGTCTACTTAATGGCCATCCACTAGAAGTGGCCATGCCAGTTTCCTGTAGAATCTCTTCATTGTTCTTAGAAATTTATGAATTTCCTTCAGATGTAAGGTCTCAATGGACGTGTTGTCAGTTCGGGGCAAACAAGAAGTACACTACCACGTTCGTGAAGCGATATGGTATATATAATTCTTAATAGTTTAAAACCTAGCTATAATAGTTGAGATAAGTTTATTTCTCTAGAAACGGACACCATTAGCAATGACGTTGCCACCTTGTCTGCAGAAGAGGCAGGGATGGAGACAAGAGTCAATTTAGAAGTACAGTAAGGACATTGTCTGTAGGGTTTTGAAAATGCATGATGCCAGGTAAACATGACTACTGTTATTGTTTCATTCACTAATGAACCACAGGAATAAAACATTTACCCTGTATAATAACTTATGAAGTTTTGGTCAACCCAGTACAATACTTTAGACATGCAGACCTTTTCTTATGGTTTGATGTCATGAACAATTTAGATAATTTCTATCGGAAATCACTAGTTTTGGTCGTCCCTAGTCCTTCCACATTAAATAGTGTCAAAAACTTTCTTTTCCAGACATGGAAGAGAGAACCGCGATGAAAACTTCCATGTTGGAGTTATCGGTCTTGTGCATCATTTTGGCACGCAGCAAGTAAATAGACACGATTAATACTTTACCAGTAACCTAAAAGTAAGAAATGCCTGTGTATATCAACATTGTATTTGGCCACTAGTCCTGTATTTCTGCTGGTAACACCACAGCTGGCTGCCTCGAGGCTCCAGCTCTGCGGCCTGCGCTAGTCCAAAATCACCACCAATCACAGCTTTTCGCAGTCACAAGACAGCTACTTTAACCCTTATTTTTAACACTTTTCGGCCCAATTTCATCAAAAATATCATTACCATAGTGAAATTCAGCATTTTATTTACCCATTAACCTGCCATCTCGAGAAAAAATTCCAACAGACATGCCCATTACTCCGAAGTAGCAGTTATCGAACATTAATTAGTGAAGCCCAAGTATGACAAGGGTTTCATTGTCAAGAACATTTACTTCATCCATGTACCTTCCACTCCCATGCCACCTGCATTTACTCAGGCCAGACTCTGGAGAACATCATTCACTCACAGTACTGTACAGGGTACTTTTATTTTAATCAATTTCCTGCACACCATTGTCTTAATACAGTATCAGAATAAGACTTCATTCAATAAAAAGAAACGGAGGCTGCAACCCTGCCAGTGCACAGTTGGTATACTGGTCTCCAAGACTAAGGACTACTGAACACCCGAATTTAATAAATCCACCTTCATGTGGCTAAACTAGCCAATGCCAACATTGAGCCCCAGCTATTCTCAATACTGCAGGTGGCATTTTAAAGGGACTAACCCACAAACATTACATCTCCAGTGTACAGAAAAAATACATTTCTGTACAGTCACATACAGGACACCTACAATGGATGGTGTAGCCTCACTGATGGCTACACACCAACTCCCTGACCAGTCACCAAACTCCGTATCTTTTGTGATGCATCATATCAATCCATTACAGTCCACCAATTTCCTTATCTTGCAATATTCTTTTGTATTTCTACTAGTCTCATCTGTATTAAGTCTGGTCTTCCATCCTGGCAACATTCTTTCCATCTACATTGATTCTTCCAAAACCAAGATGATCTAGTACATTTCTCCAACACCTGCACTACCTGCACAATGTACACTGCCTGCACACCATCTTTGTCTGGCTATGGTGAATCCATGAAATATTTTTATTTTATTGAGTAACTAATCTTGACAGTCAATTTTCACACCTTAAATTACTGTAGATAGAAAATTTAAATAAAAAAATCCAATGAAAATTTTAATGATGCAGCTCATTCACATTTCAATCCTTGATCCAACTCTTTCTATGTACGA